ATATATATATATATATATATATTTAAATGATTTTATGAGTAATTTTGTGGTTGTCTGCGTGCCATTAACACAGATTACAAAACAAACTTTTGACTTACGGAATAAAATAAGATCATCGTGAACATTGAAGTTTGAGATATTGAATTACAATTAGGCCTACTTGTATCACTCTTTTAGAAATTTGTTTCATATCTTATGCAGAATAGGGTACTATATATGTTTAAAATACCAGGATCCAGAAATAACCCTTTTAATCTAGATTACCATGCTCATAACGATAGGCCTATAAAGTGTAACCTGGTATATTACATAGGTGACAAAGGCTAAACACAGGGTGAGACTTAATAATCACAGATGTACTATTATATGTAGGTACTATTGTCAATATTTTTGTGGACATGATAAGAAGTAGTATAATTAATTTAACACGCAGACGAGAAAACGGCTGAATAATTAAAAAAAAACTTGACGCATTTAAAAAAAGTAATGAATAACATTTCATTTACCCTGATGAACAAAATACTATAGTTCCAATTATTCAAATTCAAATTTTATTTAACATGCAAATAGAAAAACAAACATGTAGAAATTGTAATAATGATAAAGTAAAAATATAAAAGATATGGAATAACAGAGCAGAAATCTAATAGATCAGACATCGGAAATGGATAGAATGAAATTCACTGTAAAACTGTTCCACATCAACAAAATCAGAGACAACCAGCAATACTTGCAATAGAATAGCCAACAATTATGGACAAGATAAAAACAAAAAGAAAGAATTTTTTTTTAACATTTTTTAAAACAAACAATATCAGTAACAAACAGCAAAAAATCAATAGAAAAGACATTAAACTATGGACTGGATAAAAACAGAAAATGATTTTATACTAACTATATCAATGATAGAATAATTCCAATTACAATTAAAAAAAAAGTACAAATGCAGTGTCGAACGTACAGTCATAAAAGCATGGCAAATCCTCTAAGCAGATCACAATCATATTTATTAGGCTCAGAATTATTTAACAGAGAATGTTAAAAAATATGTTTTATGTTAATTTTAACAGATAATTGTTTTGATATATCTTTTTTTTTTTTTTTTGCCTATAATGTGAATTTTGAGTTTGCAAAAAAATTGTAAATTAAAAAAAATAGAAACAGGGATGGCGGCAGGATTTGCCCGATTGGGGTCCGAGGTCCCCGGTGGTGGGGGGGGGGGATCCCTAAACAATTTGACAATTTATAGCGGCCTAAAAATAACCAAGAATTATAGTAAAAATCTGTCCGATGCCTAAATGGAATACTTTGACCTACGATATATATTGTAAATTTATTGTTTATCAGAATGCGATGAAAGACACTATGGAGCAGATTGTCGTCAAGTATGTCACTGTGATCCAAGCGACTGTGACAGGAAAGTAGGATGTAGATCTGGGTCAACGTGCTATGATGGTTACACGGGACCAGCGTGTCAAGGTTAGATTTATATTTTTGTTTTAAAATATCATGAGCATTAACAATTCAATTTGTATTTAACTTGTATTTAAATGATAGTATTTCAGTTTAAGAAGTACATTCTCATTCCGATTTAATAAATGCTTTTTTATATAATATAATATATATACATATAGGTCTATATTTATATATATGTATATATATAATAATCATCAAAGAAAGGTAAATACATTGTATGTATATATATGTGTATATATATATTAAATATATATATATATATATAAATTTATATATATATAAATATGTATATATATATATATATAATCATATATATTTAACTTGTATCTAAATGACAGTATTTCAGTTAAAGAAATACATTTTCATTCCGATTTAATAAATGCTTTTTTATATAATATAATATTATATATACATATATACATATATATATTTATATATATGTATGTATATATAT